GGCTGGTCTCAAATCCCTGGGCTCAGGCAATCCTCTCACCTCGGCCTCCCAAAGTGCTGGGATTACAGGAATGAGCCACTGTGCCCTGCTGATTATGATATTAACTAGTAAAACAGGCCAGGCCTGGTGGCTCACATCTGTAATCCCAGCATTTTGGGACACTGAGGTGAGAGAATTGCTTGAGCCCGGGGTCCAAAACCAGCCTAAGTAACATAGCAAGACCTCATCTCTACAGAATATCAAAAATCAGCTAGATGTGGTGGTGTGTGCCTGTAGTCCCAGCCACTCAGGAGACTGAGGGGGGAAGATCACCTGAGCCTGGAGGTCAAGGCTGCAGTAATCTGTGATCATGCCACTGAACTTCAGCCTGGACGACACAGTGGAACCCCAACTCAAAACACACACACACACACACACACACACACACACACACACAACACATGTTATTATGCATTTATATTATTTCTCCCTCTGGAAATTAACTGTTTCTATAATACAGTCTCTTCTTTAATAATGGTTTTAATGTATTTGTACTTGTGCTTTTGTATGAGTTGAGATCTGCTTTAGTGCTCTGAAAGGAAACTGTTTGGTCCTTTTGCCTGAGCATGACTTAGGAGTTGACTAAAAATTTAAATTGTGTCCATACACTGAAATCATGATTCTGCTTTTCCATTACAGTGAGAAATTATTTTGAAATGTTATTATAAAAATATATAATAGGATATTAAATTAACGGTTGAAAAATAAACTCTTAATTTTAGAACAGTTTTAGATTTATAAAATTACTGTGAATATAGTACAGAGTTGCCATATTCCCCACACCCAGTGTCCCCTATTATTAACATCTTAAATTAACAATACATGGAGGCCAGGCATGGTGGCTCACATTTAATCCCAGCATTTTGGGAGGCCGAGGCAGGAGAATTGCTTGAGCCCAGGAGTTCAAGACCAACCTAGATAGCACAATTAAGCCTCTACAAAAAAATCAAAATCGCAGTGACTCAAGAGGCTGAGGCAGGAGAATTGCTTGAGCCCAAAAGGTCAAGGCTGCAGTGAGCAGTGATAGTCCCACTATCCTTTAGCCCAGGTGACAGAGCAGGACCACAACACACACACACACACACACACACACACACACACACACACACACACACACAAA